GAGGAATAAGGAGGCTGGTGTCTTCTGATAGCCCTTCCACACTAGCTGTTTAAAAAATATTGCCAGGAAAGCATTTCTATCAGTTGGCTAAACAATGAGAGTTTCATTGGCAAAGTTCAGAATTTCCTTCAGAGGAAAACAGACTCTGACTTTTTGAACTTTCAGACTAATGGGCTGAGCAAAGTGAAAAACAATTGTTTAGAGACATCATACATGGATCTAAGGGACAGATGGCTCTGAACTGTGCCAGGGAATTATGATAAGACATGCAGGCTACATACCAGGTTTTTTTTTTCATTTTGCTTTTTTTTAATCACTGTTCTTTCCCTTACGTTTGTTCTCAGTCTCACTTGCCTTTCATTGTTTCTCAGTAGCAGTGAATATATGAGGCATTCAGCTAGAAACCTGAGACCACTTAATAATAAGCCTTAAGCTGAGTTCAACCCACATTCACAGAGCAATGGCTTCCTTGAACCTGAAGATCCAAATTGAAGGCAAGACCTCTTGGACGTTACAGTTGCTCAGAGGCCTCCAGTGATGTCCATTCAGGGGCAGCTTTCCTTTGAAAACATAGTCTCTACATAAAGAATCCTAAAAACAACTTGATGGTGAAATTAAAGACCTATGTAGCTTACACTCCCAATGCAAGGAAATGGATTAACTTTTCTTTCAACTCCTGCTGCTTAATGTTGATTTAATATATTGTCTTGACTTTTAATAAGGTTATTGAAAGATAAAAGCTGTATGAGGAACTGTGTCACAGATGCAACAGTCAGAACTTCATATGCAAAATTAAAAAAAAAATTTATAATAAAAAGAAAACTGAATATTGCTTGCATAAAATCTGGCTTTGTTTTGATACACAAAAAGGCAGCGTTCCACACTGAGTTTTTCATGAATGTCTTAAGTATATAACGCTTCTGATGCCACCCCAGTTGCCTATATATAGATCTGTCTTGTGTAAAGAATTTAAAAAGCATTAGAATGGAGAAATCAAAGAGACAATAAATTTTAAACCAATCTTATTGTCTGCAGCCTAAAGTGTTATTAAGATCAAAGTGGAGCAAACATCTGGCATTTGCCTTTCTGCAAAAATTAGATCAAATTACCTACCATAGGATTTAGATCTATTCAGTAAGTTCTTTCCATTGTACACATAGTTTTCTTTCCCAAAAGCTAACATCTTCATCCATTTGGAGTTGAAACAAATTAATGACAAAAATGGAAATGTAAGTTCCTCATGAACGTCTGTTCCCTGAGGGACATTCAAGGTCCTCCAAATCCTAAGAAGAGAGGTTCAGCTAGCCTTCATCTTTGACATGAAGTATAATTGTCTAGGAATCAACTTTACTGAATACACACAACCCAGTCTTCCTCCTTGAAAAATAAAGTATTTATGTCTTTGTGGTGATTATTTTCATTGTTGACTTTATGTTAGAATAATCACTCGTAAAAGTGCTTTGTTAAAAAGCACACTGGTCTATACTTTTACGTAAAAACTTTGCAAATGTACATTTTAAAATATACTTAATGCATTCCTTGGTTTTGATACCTTTGTTTAGAGAGCTAAATATCAAAAGTATTTTATATCTGTATAATACACTATTTTGTTCCCTGAATTGAAGAATACACTAAGCAAAGCTAAGACTGAGAATACCTATCAGTAATTTAATTCAGTAAAGTTTAACATAAAATAAAAAATATTAAAGTCTGCAAATTCATCATTAAGGAAATCAAAAAATCTTAACAGTGCTCTGTAGTGATGCCATGCAGTAACTATAAAATTATGATTAATGAATTTTAGTGTTGGTGTCCCAGATGAGCTGTAACTGATATTAATTCTTTCCAATTGCTTTCTTGCTGGAATCCATATTGATATTACTAGGCAGAAGGATTAGATATAGATCTCAATTGTTCTAGAGTTGGAGATATTAATTTAACCTTTGTTCTTTTGATCTCTTGTAATATGAATTGGAATATAGCTGTTTCCATAAGGCATTCTTTGAAAAAGAAATGCAAACAGGGCCATTTCACATTTTATTTGCAGATCTTTTATTGGGAGTCAGTCTAACTTCTTTACTTGATTCATCCGCAAGCTATGTGACTTACATCTGTATCACAGCAAGGAGAAGTTATTGCATATTGCAACTTAGAAGTTTATTTTTTTAATGTGATCCCAAGAACTCTTCTTTTATGTCAATATATAAGTTGATCCTCACATCTTGCTCCACAGTCACTTAAAAGAAGTAGATTATGAATTTTATTTCCAATATTTTTAGAAAATAGGAGAGTGAGCAAGTGACAGTTAAAATTTCTACACTCCTCCCCCCACACCCATAAAAGCTAAGAGAGGAATTCAGGCAGCCAGAACCCACACATTGTCAAGGGGCACCTTAAAGGCATCAGCTACATTCCCAGGCAGCCAGCGCAGACAAGCTTCAGATGTTTTTATGAAACTGCATTACAAGGTAGCATCAAAAATCTGCACTACTGGGATTGGTTGTGATGTGTGTATATTGCTGTGTATTTCTGGTTGATGTCTCAGCTGATAAATAAAAAATAGAGCAAGGTGTCTGCATCTTATTATGATTAATCTTTTTGATACCTTAAAGCCAAGATCTGGTCTTTATTGAAAACCTGTAGCAGTGATATCTCCAGTGTTTTGACTAAATCCTAATATACATTAATTTTTACACTCCCTGCGTTTTCCTTTAAAATCCTTTGATTAGTGCAACTATTCAGATAAGCAGAATTACTCAGAAATAATTTTGGAACCTGTATTGCTGCTATTAAGTGACCGTTGTATTTCAGTAATTAATGAAGCACGTTTGAACCATTTGAAGGGAATAAGAGCTATATTCTTTTAAAAGAGAAGAAAACTGTGTGTAAGTGGAACACTGGCTAAGCAAATGTTCATACTAGTCTCATCCTTCTAGCAATGACTTGATGTTTCTTTTTCAGGAAATCTTTTGGAACGAATAGCTCTAGGTTCAAGCTTATCTACGGCACAGCACAAAGAAACCTCAGTCCCCAAAGGTACCACTCTCCAGTGCTTCCTTCTTTGCACAGGAAAAAGTAAATTACAAGGTTAAATTACTGCACCAGTTTTGCAAATTTTCCTAGACAGGCAATGCTGCTGACAGGCAGCTGGAGTGGAGCCACGATGCTGCCTGTTCCACTGACCCATCCAGAACACGCCATACCTACTGTGCGCATGTGTTGCTCAGATGTCTTGCACATGCTCAGCAAATCTGACATGCTCTTGAAGCCTTAGTCTTACGTGCGTGCCAATCAACTGCACAGCACATGGATATCAGAGCACACAATCACAGAAATCACCAGGCAGAAATCTAGCCTCGGTTACAGGGAGGAAGGAAGGAAGGAAAGAGTCTTATTTCTGTTTTCCTGAAAACTTACTAAGATGTGTGGATTGTCTCTCTCTGGTCTTCTTTTGTTCAGTGTCACCATCTACAAAGCACGTGGGACTTCACAGTGGATGCATCTTCAATTCAAAGTTGCTTTGTAGGCCAAAAGTAAATTGACTGTCCTAGTTTATTAGCATAAAAATAATACCACCGTAGTACTAGAAAGTAGTAGAAAGATAAGTCCGAGAGGTTTTTCTCTGTTTTTCTCTTTGTTTTAAATCTTCAGATAAAGATATATATGCGTATCTTTTCATGGAAATGTATTGTGTCCAATGGTACCCATGTCTCAGACCAGAACAAATCAATTGCCTTTTAGAAATAACGATTCATAAAATTTTAGAAGCACAGAAAAGCTAGACGTGAATGAAAAATTAAACAAAAAGCAACAACAACAGCAACAACAAGCTTTAGAAGCTTTTAGACAAAGCTAGACCTAAAAAACCACAAGCAAACAGTGGACTGGTCAGCTTTGTGTTTCACAAGGGCTTAGCGTGAAGAAAAACACACAGGCTCTTATCACCAGCCTGCTTTTCAGAACTGAAAACTGGACATCTGAATCTTTTCTTCGGTTATCTGTGGGTGCTCCAGGAAGACACTTCCTGCTGGTCACTCATAAGAGTGTATATCTAACTATGTCCTTGTTATTCCTTTGAACTGAAAGGTATATCTCTGAAAATTGTTAATGTTATATGTCTGTTCAGAGGCCTATGTGAAATGAAAGACTATTCTCAGTCCAGCTGAGTGAGATGGTGGTCCCTGTCAGAGAAACTTTCATCCCAAGGGCAGAAAATGGCACCATTACTGAAGACAGTAGGTTGGCACAGGGATCTGGACTGACTGATTGATTCCCTCACGCATCTAACAAGAGTGGCAGGTGAAATGGTATAATCTGTACTGCTATTGCCCATCTCCTACCTGCTGAGTGGAAAGTGCAAAGTAATCCATTCTCTGTGGTTGCAGTCTTTCCTCAATGCCAGCCTTCCTCAAGTGCTGTCAGCAGGGATGGAGAAGTTAAAAGGTAATGACAAACCTTTCTGTACTCTTTATCATTATTTTTCATCCTCTCGGTCCCTATTTACAGCTTCGAAAGTGTTGTGTTGCAAAAGAGTTCCCGATACTTTTTTAAAGGTGGACGTGAAACTGATAAACAGGCAGAAAACTGAGGTAAGGTATAAGGCAGGCTCATTAAATCCAACTTTAATTCTACAACAGTTCAAGTTTGATTTATATTTGGAACTGTCACTGTATGGTTTGCAAGGGGAAAACTGTGAGTAAAGATTGAGATTTTCCTTCTGTAAATTGTGGAAGGGTAAGGGGGAAGTGGTAGATCTCATTTAAAAACCTTATTGAGGTAGCCGTGGTGAATGATGGTGCCATTGCTTGTCTCTGTGTCTCACTGTCATAATGTAAGTCCTTTTATAACTAGAAGAAACCACAGAAGTCAGAGTAAAGTACAACAGATCCAGAAAGAGCTAGAAACTTAAGGAAGAAATAATAATAAAAAAAAACAATAGACATGGGCTAGAGAATTTTTTATTTATTTGTTACTAGTAGTTAAAATGACGTACAAAATGCTGGGAAGAAAAAACTCCAATTCTATTCAGTTACAAAATAATTAAAACTTCATTTTAAACCAAGTTTTGCTTTGTGAGACCAAGCATGAAAATACTGCAGCCTTAGGTTATATAGTCCATTGTTTTTAGAATAAAGCAGATATTTAAATACATGTTGTGGCTGATATTTAATATCTTGTATAATTGTAAGTTAGCAGAACTTTCTTACTCTCAGGCAATAACTAGCAATTCATAAAAGTTCTTTGTATAAAATTTACATATTTATTGGGGGGGGGGGGACGTGCCTCAAGGGGAATTCCTTTGTGATCTATGCATAGGCTGTTTTGGAACATAAAGATTTGTAAAATTTTTATCCATTTTCCTTTAGAATGCTAACTTAATGTTAAATCAAAGAGCTAGTAATGTCTAAAGCTTTGCTTAACGTCTAAGAGTTTAGGGACATAGTAGCCTAGGATGAAATCCTATCACTGTTAAAAGACAATAGTTCTGCTATCAACTTCAAATGAAGATAAAATTTCATTCTTAAGGTTTGCCTATTTATTGCAGAACCATTAGCTAGTATATAACTTTCAACAAAGATCGACATCGGCCCTTGCAGCTCCAAACCAACTCAAAAAAGTAATTTAAAGGAAAACAACCCCTGTAAATTATCAGTGAAAAAGGATTTGTATTAATAATAACATTAAATATCCATATCTTTCTGTTTAACTATTCACATTCCACACAGTGGAAATCTACCTCCCATAATTCCAGATTTTAAAACTGGATTTTAAAATCCATGAATAAATGTGTCAAACCTACTGAATGAGAGTACACCAGATGCAATGCATTTTAATAATATGAAACAATGAGTTGCAATCTCTTAATCTTACAGATGCAGTCCTTACAGCAGTATATTTTACAGTAAAAATATATTAATTGCAGAGATGTAGGAGATGGCCAATAATTGCACAATACATTGTGTAACAGCTGTGGCTTTAATATAATGACTGCACATTTTATGCATCTGTGACATGCCACTGTATATTTTTCCCTTTGGACATGCTAACAAAAGCAGAAATTTCTTTCTCACAGTTCAATGGACAGAAATACTGTCAAGATAATCAGCCTGTAGCTGAGAGAGGCATTTGGTGTGAGAAAGAGCAGTGGCACTGATAGTAGATACAAAAGAATATTGTGGCTGAATGGTAAACTAAGTCCTGGGCTATAGAAGACCCATCATACAACTAACTTGGACCTTCTTCTCATTTCACTCATATCAGTAGGGGTTGCTTTAAGGCCCAATACTAACTCTACCTGAGACAGTCGGCATAGCAGTATGCATTTGCTTAGGTGCAAAACTGGAACAGAATTTGCTGTTAGGGTCCCCTAGGCATGGGTCTCGGCCGGGAGGTGGGCAGCTCCTTCAAAAGCCAGCGCCTGGGAAAGGGTGAGCAGTTTGCGCATCGCGAGACACAGCCAGCGAGGCAATGGCTCGCTCCCACCGAACCCCTAGGAAAAGGGAAGTGCTGCAGCCCCGGGGCAGGGCTGCCTCTCAGGACAGCCAGCCTAGAGGCCACCTAGATAAAACAACTTCTTTTGCAGGCCCTTCTGTGCTCTTGTCGAAACCCACACTTCTGATCTAGCTCCACCACCTAATCCTGAAGGCCCGAGAACCCAGGGTACTCTCACAGGTGAGGCACATGGAGCTGCTGGAAGTCATGTGTCCCCTTTCATGTTTTTCCCCCTGAAATGAGAGGGGCAGTTAGCCCTTAATTTTTAGGAAATTCTCTTTACTTAGTCCAAATCCTGTTTAAATGCAAGTCTGTGGTAAAAGATGTAAAAAGAGAATTATTGCTGGCAAAGCTCTGCATCTCTTTTTCAACAAACTGCATGCCTGTGGCGGAGCTAAAATAACAATAACAATGCAATGTTTACTAGTCATGAATGTCGTGTCTTTTGTCTCTTGTGTGGTTATTGCATTGGCAGTCACATGATGCTTGTTTTAATTTCTGCTTTGCTCTTTATGTGCTAAATTACTGCCATTTTGTACTTGATCTTGGTTAGCAAGATTTCTGCGCTGTGGTATGTATGTTTTTGTTTATGTGTGTGAAAAAGAGAAGAAGCGAGTTCAGATACACACAGTGGAGTATGCATACTCACCGTATGTATGTATAGATACCAATGAATAAAAGATACTGCATATACATATATATGTAAATATGAAGGATAACTGATATCTGAAATACAAGACACCAAATGGATCTAGTGGCAGAAGAAAGGGTTTTGATCAACTTAGCCATTAGAATTCAGAAATACATTTATAGTCTTGTATATAGTTTCTCTTTAATTTATGTAATATATGAATAGGTCTATAAATTAAAGCAAAACGTAAACAGAAGACAATATCTCTTTCTGCGTCTTGCTATTTATGTATCTTTCTTTTTCCTCTCTTTTATATTCCCCCATCTACTTACTTTGACCCTTTTTTTCCTAACTTGCTGTAATTCTGTTAGCTGTCCACCTATACCGATTTTTTTCACACTCCTGCTTCCCCCCGTTGTTCTGCCAACATGGCTTTTGGATTACAGTTATTTTTTAAAGAAGTATGTTAGAAACTCCCTACACAGTTGTTATTCTCTGTGATGGTTTGCTATGGCTTAACTGCTTTTAGCCTACTTTATATTTAAGAGTAGATTCATGCTTTCCAACTTATTGTCCACGCACTGTGACGTTTCTCTTAATACGCTAAAAGCAAATAGCATGGCAGGTGAACATTAGCAAAAGCCACAGCTCCACTTTCCCAGTAAGTGGCAAAAATGTGGACGTGCACTAGAAAGCCTAATTATTGTGATGTTGAGGCTGTGGGTAAATAGATTTTAATATTTCATACCCCTGTTAAAAATAATTTTGCCATAGTGAACATTCATCTGTTTGGCTTATACACATCCCTTTTCTTTCTTGCACACAAACACACACATGCATGTCCTTCCCTTATGTCCATTTTTTTTCTTGTTTTTTTTTTCAGGTAATTCACTAGGTTGCTTTCCGTTGTGTCCAGCCCGGAGGGTATGCTAGTTTATGCCGCTCACTTTCACACTGGCAAGGATTGCATACAGTCAGAGTGCAATCAGGATAATATTTTCCTCAGATTAGTCCAAGTCAATAGATATACACCGGCGTGATTCTTTTCTTCTTTCTAGGGGGCTGAAGCTCAGGGCAATTAAGTGTAACAGTCATGGTGGTAAATTTCTTGGGCTTGCAGAAGGAACAAGACTGGAAAGAGCCTTCCTCTTTACGGACATGCCTTGGGATGTAAAAGGAATTGCACTGGCCGTAGCAGAACCGGTTGATAATGGTACGACTGTTGCAGCCTTCTTCATGGATAGTTTGTTTGAGGGGTTGAGTTTTACACCAATCCCGTTTTAGGTATTTGCGCTCAGTGATGTGCAGTGCCTCCTGACTAGACTCCAGCACCTCTTCGGCAGGCATTGAAGTGCCTTTCCCTCGCTCTCGATGCCTAGAGCCTGGCTGCTGCTGTGTCTGTGTTTGCTCTGAATCATTGGGCTGATCTTTGTCAGGAGGTGGGATAGCACCTTGAGATCCACGATTCCTCTTTCTCCCTTCTGCTGTCGGTAACAGAAATCCCACCAGAAGAAACACAGCACCGATGGCATACAGTGGGCGGACCATCCTATATAGAGGAGGTTGAGAAAATAAAGCACAGTTGTGGATTTCAGACATCATCAGAAGTCAAGTATGTAGCAAATCTTCAGTTCTATAAAAGAAATGTGTGTGTGTGTGTGTGTGTGTGTGTGTGTGTGTGTGTGTGTGTATACATATATACAAAATAAGCCAGGTGGAAAGCTATTTCAGAATTAACAGGTAGTTAAAGCTTTCATATACGGTGATTCAAAGTCAGAGGTTAAAGCAAGTCCAAATGGATTTTAGTTTTGTGTAGCATGCATGTATTTCCAGCTCCTTTCTCCATGTATATTACCCTGTTTAAGAACTCCCATTCCCTTCCTGTACCTTACTGACATTATGGATGTTGCTCCTAATTTACGCTGGTGGAAGAAGAGCTATATTATATATCATTACATATATATATCATAAATATATATATAAAATTTATATATCATTTATATTACATAAGGATTTCTATGAACTGGTTATCTGCAGTACCAGAGGACTAAACTCTTTTACTCAGGAGATCTGTTCCAGTTATATGTTCCTAAGTCAGACTCAGAAGTTTTGTACAGCTTCTTGCATAATATACATACAACATATGATGTGCATGCTGTATCCACCTGCTGTTTGAATTACAGCATCCCAAGCTCTGTCTTACTGCACTGTATTGGTCCGCTGAGTCTAAGTGTAATGAAGCCTGAGGTAAGCAAGAGATGTGTAACAAGACAGGCAACTAACATAAAAGATTATATAGGTATAAGCTAAAAGAGATGGGTCTTTACTTTCGAATTACACCTTCTCACACATTACTCTGAATTCTTGATAGATAGTTACACAGATGCAGTAGAACAGTGTTAAGAAGTTTTGAGATCTCCGAGTTTGTCATGATATACAGCATGTTATTGAGAGGCCATATGAGGACAGCAGAGTTTCATGCATGACATTAAGTCATGAAGGGTTGCATCACACAAAAATGCAGTTTGTGCACACAAAACCACTTCAAGTGCTGTAAGTGGAGACAATTGGGCTGTTCAAAACTGCACTCTTGCCCCAAACCGAATTAACTAGTGGAGGAAGAGCCTTTCTCCCCTTCCTTGTTCTTGGCGGCCCAGTTATTTTCCACCATTTCTGGTAGTTCCCAAAGCTCTGAGCTCTTTTGGCTGCTCAGTTAGCTCAAGAACAACAAAACAGGAGGAAAGTCATCAGTTGTTACACCTTTCAGAAGCAGCACGCTCTCCATGGTGTTTCAGAAAATGAGGGATGTGGCAGCCAGCAAGACAGCTCGGGGTGCGGGGAGACTCAGGATCCTCCTGGGATGGGGTGGGGGGGAAGGCTTCAAAGAAGTCACCAGAAAGGGCTCCTTGTAGTTCTATTCTATGGTTTCTTGCAAGCAAAGAGGCATATACTTTAAAAAAGGAAGAACTGGGAAGAAAAAAGGAGAAGTTGGTTTCTTCTACTTGCTTAGAGTGTTGTAGTTGTATCCCTTATTTGACTAGTTCTGCCAATAAAGGGCAAAATAGTTTCTGAAGAGTCCTGCTTACGTTACTATCCAGCAAACATATATGAAACCAAGGGCACTTTCCTGTACTATTTTACCTGCTCTGCCTAAGGTAACGTAACTGGGCAGAAAAGCAGTCAGATGTCAGCTCTGCAGGGGCAATGTAGTGACTCAGGAGAGGCTCAGGGTGAGTATTACCACTGTAAAAGACATATATTAATTTCTCAGTTATTAGGTCTTTCCAGTCACCAAATCAAAATAAAATTTGTATTATGCTGTTCAAAAAGCCCTTCGCACTGAAGAGGCTGGGAAAGGACCTATAAGGGTGGAAAAGTGTTACAGGAGGTCTCCATCATATTTAGGGACTTGCTTGTGGATATAGTTTTGTAAGTGTTTGTCTATGGGTTGTTAGTGTACCTAGAATTTATAACATGCATGATAAATATATGCATTTGTTTTATTCATTTCAGTTTATGTACATGTGTGCTACGTTTAGAAGAAGCTTCAGGCGTGAAGAAAGGGGGGTAAGAATGACACTATTACTGGCTCCAACAGAAAACACAGAAGGGCTGCTTTTAATATCTAAATGAAATGTTGCACAGAACATGCAATTTTAATAACCTTACAGCTCTGACATAGAAAGAAAAATAAATGTTGGGAATTCTAATTGAAGACTAACATAGCATAACTTCAGGGGTGAGCTTGGACTTCACATTTGCTGTCTTTTTTCTGTTCCTGTTACAATCTCAATTTTATTTAAACATGTTTCTTTTTATTTTCCAGGTTTTGTCTTTAAAATAATTTTTAAAGAGCAGTTATAAAACAGCGCTAACTTCCTCGAGAGATGAGAATGACTCCTTCCAGAGCTGTTCCCATTTCTCCCCAAACTGTATTTTGATTTTAATATTAATTTACTAGACATAGTGCCAGAGCCTTAAAAAAAATAAGAAAAAAGTCATTGCATGCAACAGAAAATAAAATGCTAGTTTCTAAGCAGTGCCAGGAAATTTCAGGTATTTGTTTAGTGTTCCATAATACAGTTGATGTTTTGCCAATGCACATATTCCTGAACCACTTTTATTTCTAAAATGGGTTATGTTGCTCCACCTTTTTGTTTCATAAATGTGCAGTTGGTTACATAGTCATTTAAGGTCTAGTCCTCTGAAAATGAAGTGTACTTTGGGACGGGAATTTGGGGAACATTTGATGGTAATGTTTACAATTGCAAGATCTGTCTCCCACATTCAAACATCTTTATTAAGCATGTGTTTAACTTTAAGGAAATGTAAGCATGTGTTTAAATATAATCCTAAACTGGGAGAAGAAAGAAAATTTTTCACCGAGTTGGTTTGCAACCTTAAAGGTGGAAACTATACTGCATGCATAGAAAAGAGATTGCGATTCACACGAAAATTAGCAACTTAGCAAAAATGTTTGTTATGGTCAGGTCCAAAAAGTATGTCTAAGAATAAAAGTAATCCAATCATTTGGGACTATACTGTAGTTTAAATGTAGACCCACATAAGAGACTTTGCTAACTTCAAGAGCCTGATAGGAGCTCGAGTGGAGCTTGAGCTTTGATACCTCTTTGATAGTAATTTATTAAACACTTCTTAAAAAACTAATATAATTTTTTTAAAAGCCAAATGGCAAAGAAAAAGGAGGTGGTATGCGTCAGTAAGGAAAGCAGCCAAAAGGCAATGCCCGGATTCTGCACCATCTCTAGTCCCAAAGCAGGGTATTTGCTTATGAGAGAAGACTACATCTCTGGCTACATTATGGACTAGAATGATTCATCCTCCTATGAATTAGTGTTTGAGAAAGGGTTCCCTAACATATTTTTTATTACTGTAAAAAATTAGAAGAAGGGACAGTACAAGATAAAGTAACTAAATCAGTGTTATCATACTCAAAGTTTTATCAAAAAGAAAACCCTTCTTAAGTAAATGTTCTTCTCCTTTTCACATCCATTACCCTGGAAAATGTAGTAGCAGTGGAGCTTGGGTAGGAGCTGTGCAGAATCAGGCTTTAAAATATTGGATTTGAAATTTCTGCAAGATTTTCAGGAGCAAATTGGATGATACTGGCTGTTGCAGAAGCATTGGCAAAATCAGAATGCTGATTTGAGAATCCTTTGAATGGACTGATGACCACAAACAAGATGCCAAGTTAAATTCCTAGTTATTTTCCTGCAAATCCACGGAGAGATCCAGTATCATTAATATTTATTTTTCTAAAGAGTAACAAAGTACTTCAAAAATCTATTCTTTCTGTACTTCACTGCTGAGTTTAGAGTTCTGCTTTTCATCATCATCAGTTTTATTTTTGACTTCAGACAGGAGCAGAATTGGGCCCTGACGTTTATATCACCTAATTTGCAGATTATCTAGAGTCTGGGATCTAATCATGCAAGGCAGATGAGGAATTTTGTGGATTAATACTAGTATCAGTTCATATAGAAGTATAATCCCTTTCTGTTTTATTACTTAATACAATTAAGTTGTAAATTTTTAATTTAGACATTTTCTCCTGTAAATTAGGAATATCCAAATGTCAATTTATAAACAGCATTTCCCTATGAGTTCCAAGGTAGATTCATAAAGTTATTATCAAAATTTTTTCGCACAGAGCAACTTGTTTAATAATGTTGGATGGAATCCTGGTTCTGTTGAAATATACAGCACAATTCTCACAGACTTCAGTAGGCTCACAATTTCATCTGTGAACCATATTTATTAGGAAAATATTATGATAAGTCATGGAGGCATGGGCTTCACAGAAAACATGAAAAATTATCTGCAGAAGACCTAATAAAATAGATGTACTTGGTGGCTTCAAATACCAGCCAAGAAGGCAAAACATAACACTTCCACTATTGAGAAAACTGCAGTGGTTTATGTCCCAAAGGATCAGAATAAGTCTATGCCTGGTTTATTATATATGAATTACAGAAATATTCTCATGCAATGTTTTTACAGACCATAGATCTGTATTTTTAAATACACAAAAAGGCATGGCAATGGCAGTTCCTAGAGAACCATAACGTTTTCCAAAATCAAGTTAGCAAAACTAACATCTCTATTTGGTAGACTTTGGTACATTAACATTTCAGATAATTCCTTTTTGAGAGTCATGGAAATGGCTTTTCTGAGAAGTGTAATGAACACAAGCAGCAATACAGGGGAAAAAAAAGAGAAAACCGAGAACTTGAAAAATTCCACCTTTAAGAAAGTATCGCTCTGTAGGACATCCTACAGGATTAAGGAGAAGTCGAACAACATGGTGGGCATGGTTGGGGCCAAACCCAAACTCAGATTCCCCTGAAGATGCCCATGGAGTTACACAGATTCGCTCTCGAAACTCCCTCCAGAGAGCTTTGCTCACAGATCTGTAAAAACACCAAAATAGGTTTGCTACTGTGAACAGCGATGCGCGCTGAAAGAGAGAGTCTTCAGAGTCTTCAGAAAGTCTTTGAGGGACAATGCGGTGAGAAAAATAAATGCCC